TTGTGCGTTGTGATGGAGCAATTGAAACATATAACGCACAACCAAAGATTCTAAGATGGGAAATGTTTGGCTCCTAACCAAAAACCAATTGTAATGGGGAGATGTCATGATAACTGGTTTGCCTTATGCGCGCACAAGTGTCGCTGTATGCAAAATAGCATTCCCCCAAATCGAAACAGACAACTTTGTCCTCATCAACAATGGTCTAGCTATCAATTGAAGACGTTTAATCAATGATTCTGCTAAACCATTTTGAGTATGAACATGTGCAATAGGATGTTCAACTGTTATTCCAATGGACAAACAATAATCATTAAATGCCTGAGATGTAAACTCACCAGTATTATCAAGACGGATTATTTTTATTGCATAATTTAGAAATTGTGCTTTTAACCTTATTATTTGAACCAACAATCTCGCAAAAGCCATATTACGAGTTGATAATAAGCACACATGAGACCATCTTGTAGATGCATCTATCAAGACCATATAATATTTAAATGGTCCACATGCAGGGTGAGTACGCCCACAAATATCACCTTGTATCTATTTCAAAAATGCGGGAGATTCCACTCCAACCTTAGTCGTTGATGGTTTGGTAACCAACTTTCTTTGTGAACAAGCAGCACAAGAGAATTCCTTTAATTGAAGAACATTTTGGTTCTTCAAAGTATGCCATGTGAATTCTCAATTATTCTGCATATCATATTATAACCGGGATGGCCCAATCGATCATGCCAAATGATAAAATCATTAGAACCAGTAAACCTTTTGTTTACTATGGCATGTGATTCAACCATACCAATATTTGTATGGTACAACCCAGAAGAAAGTGCAGGCTATTTTTCATGCACAGTTTTCTTCTCCGCATTTATTGTAGTAATGTAAAGGTATTCAATATTTCCTTCATTTGCAGTCTCAACATGATAGCCATTTTGGCGAATAACCTTGAAACTTATCAAGTTTCTATAAGACAGTAATAAGGCCGCTCTTCCAGAGCCCTCAATCAATTTTGTACAACCAGATATTGTATTAACATATTAAATCTACTGTTTCAATACGTCATTAGTTTATATGTTTTTGGGACATTCAATGTGCATGCATATAACATATAATATTATTTTATAATCATATTATACTTTATCATTTGAACATTAATTTATCATTTATTATAAACAAGCCAACATCATAATATTAACTCAATTATTTTATGATATTTTTCATCATGTCAAATTTGTCAAAGCTTGAATTTGTGGCACTTGACATTTCTGGAAAGAACTATTTGTCATGGGTACTTGATGCTGAAATTCACCTTACCGCTAAGGGTCTTGGTGATTGTATAATCGAAGGAAATAAGGCATCAAGTCAGGATAAAGCAAAAGCTATGATTTTCCTTCGTCATCATCTTGATGAAAACCTAAAGGTTGAATATTTAACAGTGAAAGATCCACGTTAATTGTGGATAGGTTTGAAAGGGAGATATGACAACCTCATGGCAACAGTATTGGCAAGGACTCGTTATGAGTGGATGCACTTACAGTTTCAAGATTATAAAATCATAATTGAGTATAACTCTGTTGTATTCAGAATCACTTCCCAATTAAAATCATGTGGGAAAGTTATAAAAGGTGAGGACATGCTGGAAAAGACATTAACTACTTTCATGCCTCCAATATGATATTACAGCAGCAATATCGTGAGAAGGGTTTTAAAAAATACTCTGAATTAATCTCATGTCTTCTGGTGGCTGAGCAGCATAATGACCTTTTAATGAAAAATCATGAAGCCCGTCCCGCTGGAAGTGCTCCATTATCGAAGGCACACGGGGTAGAAGCACACGGCCAATCTGAAATACAATAAAATAATCGGGGCCATAATAATATGCGCGGGCGTGGCAAAGGAAAAAGACAATATAATAATCATCGAGGTGATGGTCATAACAAAATGGAGAACAATATGGGTTCTCAAAATAATCCTTCAAAAGGCAAGGGCGATCACTGTCATCCTTGTGGCCTTAAAGGTCACTGGAAAAATGAATGTCGGGTACCTGAGCATTTCGTCAGGCTGTATTAGAATTCCTTCAAAGGAAAAGGAAATAAAGGTGGTGCCTCCTCTTCTAATGCCCGAGTAGAGACACATTTGACTCTCAAAGATGATGCTCAGGCAGGGTCTTCTCAAAAATATAATGAGAATGTTGAGGCGAATTTAGCATTGAAAGATGATGTTTTTGATGGGCTCGATGATATTACTCATCTAGAAGCTGAGGACTTCTTTGGGGATTGCAATTGAAGATTGATAATTGAACTAGAAAATGAATAATATTATGTGTTTTTAATGTCTTACTTAAAGTTCATGTACTTAAATTTTCTTTTGTTAAGTTTCATACTTCTTATTATGTATTTTTATTTTTATGAAGATAAATAAAATTTCCCAATCTTCAGTTGGATCCAAGATGAGTAATGGAGATATGTGTCTTTTGGACAGTGCCATAACTCACGCGATACTAAGAGAAAAAAAATATTTCTCTCATTTAATAATGAAAAAGACATATGTTAATACAATATTCGGTAGTACAAAATTGATTGAGGGCTCTGGAAGAGCGGCCTTATTAGTACCTGGAGGAACATTATTGGTAATTGATAATGCATTGTATTGTAGTAAATCTCATAGAAACTTGTTAAGTTTCAAGGCTATTCGCCAAAATAGCTATCAGGTTGAGACTGCGAATGAAAGAAAGGTTGAATACCTTTATATTACTACAATAAATGCGGAGAAGAAAATTGTGCATGAAAAACTACCTGCACTTTCTTCTGGGTTGTATCATACAAATATTGGTACGGTTGAATCACAAGCCTTAGTAAACAAAAGGTTTACTGGTTCTAATGATTTTATCATTTGGTATAACCGGTTAGGCCATCCCGGTTATAATATGATGCGCAGAATAATTGAGAATTCACATGGGCATACTTTGAAGAACCAAAATGTTCTTCAATCAAAGGAATTCTCTTGTGTTGCTTGTTCACAAGGAAAGTTGGTTGCCAAACCATCAACAACTAAGGTTGGAGTGGAATCTCCCGCATTTTTGGAACGGATACAGGGTGATATATGTGGGTCTATTCACACTGCATGTGGACCATTTAAATATTATATGGTCTTGATAGATGCATCTACAAGATGGTCTCATGTGTGCTTATTATCAACTCGTAATATATCTTTTGCGAGGTTATTGGCTCAAATAATAAGGTTAAAAACACAATTTCCAGATTATGCAATAAAAACAATTCGTCTTGATAATGCTGGTGAGTTTACATCTCATGCATTTAATGATTATTGTTTGTCCACTGGAATAACAGTTGAACATCATGTTGCACATGTTCATACTCAAAATGGTTTAGCAGAATCATTGATTAAACGTTTTCAATTGATAATGGTCTAGCTATCAATTGAAGGCGTTTAAACAATGACTCTGCTAAACCATTTTGAGTATGAACATGTGCAACAGGATGTTCAATTGTTATTCCAGTGGACAAACATTAATCATTAAATGCATGAGATGTAAACTCACCAGCATTATCAAGACGAATTGTTTTTATTGCATAATCTGAAAATCGTGCTTTTAACCTTATTATTTGAGCCAATAACCTCGCAAAAGCTATATTACGAGTTGATAATAAGCACACATAAGACCATCTTGTAGATGCATCTATCAAGACCATATAATATTTAAATGGTCCACATGCAGGGTGAATAGGCCCACATATATCACCCTGTATCCGTTCCAGAAATGCGGGAGATTCCACTCCAACTTTAGTCGTTGATGGTTTGGTAATCAACTTTCTTTGTGAACAAGTAGCACAAGAGAATTCCTTTGATTGAAGAACATTTTGGTTCTTTAAAGTATGCCCATGTGAATTCTCAATTATTTTGTGCATCATATTATAATCGGGATGTCCCGACCGGTCATGCCAAATGATAAAATCATTAAGACCAGTAAACCTTTTGTTTACTATAGCATGTGATTCAATCGTACTAATATTTGTATGGTACAACCCAGAAGTAAGTACAAGAAATATTTCTTGCACAGTTTTCTTCTCCACATTTATTATAGTTATATAAAGGTATTTAACATTTCATTCATTCGAGTCTCAACATGATAGCCATTTTGGCGAAGAACCTTGAATCTTAACAAGTTTCTATGAGACTTACTATAATATAATGCATTATCAATTACCAATAATGTTCCTCTAGGTAGTAATAAGGCCGCTCTTTCAGAGCCCTCAATCAATTTTGTACTACCGGATATTGTATTAACATATGCCTTTTTCATTACCAAATGAGAGAAATATTTATTTTCTCTTAGTATCGTATGAGTTGTGGCACTATCCAGAAAACACATATCTCCATTACTCATATTGGATCCAACTAAAGATTGAGAAATTTTATTTATCTTCAGAAAAATAAAAAAATACATAATAAGAAGTATGAAACTTAACAAAAGAAAATTTTGAGTACGTGAACTTTTAAATAAGACATTAAAAACACATAACAACATTATTCATTTCCAGTTTAATTATCAATCTTCAATTGCGATCCCCAAAGAAGTCATCGGCTTCTAGATGAGTAATATCATCAAAAACATCATCTTTCAATGCTAAGTTTGCCTCAACATTCTCATCATATTTTTGAGAAGATCCTGCCTGAACATCATCTTTGAGAGTCAAATGTGACTCCACCTAGGCATTAGAAGAGGAGGCACCACCTTTATTTCCTTTTCTTTTGAAGGAATTTTGATACAACCTATCAAATTGCTCAAGTGCCCGACATTCATTTTTCCAGTGACCTTTAAGGCCACAACGATGAAAGTGATCACCCTTTCCTTTAGAAGGATTATTTTGAGAACCAACATTGTTCTCCCTTTTGTTATGACCACCACCTCGATGATTATTATATCGTCTTTTGCCCTTGCCACGCCCACGTACATTATCATGGCCCCAATTATTTTATCTTATTTCAGACTGACTGTGTGCATCTACCCCGTGTGCCTCCGGCAATGGAGCACTTCCAGCGGGACGGGTTTCATGATTTTTCATTAAAAGGTCATTATGCTGCTCAGCCACCAAAAAGCACGAGATCAGTTCAGAGTATTTCTGAAAACCTTTTTCACGATATTGTTGTTGTAATATCATATTAGAGGCATGAAAAGTAGTTAGTGTCTTTTCCAAAATGTCCTTATCTTTTATAGTTTCCCCACATAATTTCAATTGAGAAGTTAATCTAAATACAACAAAGTTATACTCAATTACGGTTTTATAATCTTGAAACCGTAAGTGCATCCACTCATAACGAGCCCTTGGCAATACAGTTGCCTTGAGGTGGTCATACCTCTCATTCAAACATATCCACAATTCAAGTGGATCTTTCACTGTTAAGTATTCAACCTTCAGGCTTTCATCAAGATAATGACGAAGAAAAATCATAGATTTCGCTTTATCCTGACTTGATGCCTTATTTCCTTTGATTATACAATCACCAAGACCCTTAGCGGTCAAGTGAATTTCAGCATCAAGTACCCATGACAAATAGTTCTTTCCAGAAATTTCAAGTGCCACAAATTCAAGCTTTGACAAATTCGACATGATGAAAACTATCATAAAATAATTGAGTTAATATTATGATGTTGGTTTGTTTATTATAAATGACAAATTAATACTTTAAATAATAAAGTATAGGATGAGTATAAAATATATTATATGCATGAACATTATTGTTAGGAAAAAAAAATGTAAACTCATGAAGTATTGAAACGGTAAGAGTTAAATATATTTTCTACTTGTTTTAAGTATTTATTACTAATTTCAATTAACGTCAAAGTTTAGTAATAATTTCAAGTTGTATTTAATACAATACTATATTCTTTATGACGCACAAAATGTATGACAAGAAAATACTTACGAGTATTCTAAGTATCATGCTATCATATTGCTTAGTATTAAATTTAGAGTTATAAGTTAGTAGCATAAATAACATAACAATATAAACTTGAAACGTATTGATTATTATGCCTAGTAAAGTATCATAATAAGATCTAAAGCAAGTTATGTATGCAGTAATTAAATTGTTGAACAAAGACTTATGTAAGTCCTATTAGATATGTTATAAACATATAAATTTATACATGACTCGGAAAGAAAATTGATTAACTTTTAGGAAAAAAGATAATTCCGAATTAAGTAAGTCTTAATTTGGTTACAAACTCGTGTTGATAACGTGTTGTAAAACAAGAGGAAAATATAAGAATACTAAACAATATAGGAAGACAAGTGGTGATGGAAAATATAAATCTCTTCAAGTGTATTTCACAAGGGTGAAAGACTACCCTTTTATAGGATATTCAAACAATCCTTTTACAACATTTGACAAATACGTTAGAATAATATTTAATTAATATAATAAATAGATACATTACGTTAGGAATAGATCAAGTGAAACATCCACCATTAAATGGATTTGTACAAATCCATTTAATATGGATGTTTCTTTTCATCAACCTAACGTAATGCATGTATTAATTTAATGTAAGAATTAAAGATTACTAACGTATTTTGGTTAAGGTAGTAAACGAATGATTTCTACCTCTTATAAAAGGGTCTTCTTCACTTTTAGCAAAAGAAATGATCTAAAAAATAAAAAAGGCAAACAAAATTCTTTAAAAAAAATTTGCAATTTTTATGAAGTTATAATAATAACAAAAAAAAAGTGATTTAAGGAAATAATATAAATAACATTAATGATGAGATTAAGGAAAGAGGTAAAAGAAATCAATAGCATTAATCATAATAGGAATTAAATATGGTCATTCTTGATATATTTTCTTACTTTTTCTAAAAAAATCAGTCTTTAGAAATTAAAAAAGAACTCCATAAATAAAATAAAAATTTGAGGCATATTTTATTTGGAAGAACAATTTTATTTAAGGGAAATTTCATAAATATTGATAAAATTTAATTTAAAAAATATAAAAACTTTAATAGAAATATAAAGAAAAAAAGTGATTTAATGAAACAATATAAATAAAATTAATATTGATGAGATTAAGGGAAGGAAGTAAATTAAATTAATAGCATTGATGATGGTAGGAATTAAATATTGTCATCTTTGATTTTTTTTTTTATTTTTTATTTTTTTTTAAAAATCAGTCTTTTGAAAAATTTCAATAAAAAAACTCCAACAAATAAAATAAAAATGTGAGGCATAATTCTTTTGAAAGAATAAATTTATTTTTGAGAAATTATTTTGATAAAAATATTAGTGAAATTGTCGAAAATGTTGATAAAATTTAATTAACAATAAATATAAAATAAAATAAACTTTAATTAAAGACACAAAAAGAAGACATAATAAAAGAAGAAAGAAATTAGTAAAATAAAGAAGTAGAAAGAAATAATGTCAGCAATAAATTTTTATTAGGTAAAGATAAATAAAAATATAAACTTTAAGTAAAGATACATAAAAAAATTAAGACAAAATAAAAAAAGAAAGAAATTAGTAGAATTTATTCTTCTCCAAATTTGATATAAATTTCATAAATAGATTAATTTTTTCTCCAAATAATTCTTCTTACCCTTTAAACACTAATCATTCTTACTACAAATTTTATATGAATTTCAAAACGATTTTTTTTTTTCTCAATAGTCATCTCCTATAGGAGGAAACAACATTCTTCCAAAAAGTCTTTTACTTTGAAGAGAAACTTTTTGTTACGTGAAATTTCTCCTTACACTTATATCTTCCGAAGGATCACAAAATATTCCTCCTTTCTATTTTCGTAAAGCAATCACAAGGCTAGAAATTAGTTGGTTATCTCAGCGGCATAATCAATATTCTTTCAAAAAGTCTTTTATTTTGAAAAGAAACTTTTGTTACATGACCTTTCTCCTTACATCAATATTTTCTGAAGGATCATGAATTCGTTGGACATTTCAGTAAAGGAATTTGATACTCATATATTCATTGTCATCGTCAGAAGAAGAGATAAAGTGAAGGAATCCATTGTTGTAGGGTATAAATACTCTAATATTTTTATTTTATAGGCGAAGTAAATATAAACTGTTACTAAAAATGAAAAGTTTTAGTCTTTTCATCTTCCAAATTTTAGTCTTTTCATCTTCCATTTACTTAAATGTGTATTAATGTGAGGAAAGTTTTAAAGAAACATGATTAATTGGGTAGTGTATTTAAATATTTTCAGTTTTTAAGAATACAAATAAATAATAGAAATCAAAGAAAAAATATCAACAAAAAAAAAAAGAGAAAAAAGATAAATAGGAGTAGATGTAATAGAGAGGTGTCACATCAGATTGTCTATATTCAGAAATTACTAGCAATTGTTAGAGGAATAAGAAAATTTTCAATTTTTCTTTTACCTAAACAATTTATTATCAGAACTGACAATACTCAGGTGTCAGGATTAATATCTAACAAGCTTCTTTCTGAACCTCAGTACAGGAGATTGTATCGATGGCAAGTTTTATTGTCATTTTATTCTTTTAAAATAGAATACATTAAAGGAGTTGATAATTCTCTTGCAGATTTCCTATCAAGAAACGTCCAATATGGACAATGGGTTATTAATTGAACTTCCAATTTCTTGGGTTTTTCCAAATTAAATATCATATTCTTCTGGAATTTGTGCATGTTGAATTTCTGCTCCTATAATTCTTGCAATTCCTGCACATTCTTGATCTATTTCGATCATTCCCTTATTTTTATAGACATTTCCATAATTTGAGTTAGTAACCATATATAAAGCCTGGTAATAAATGCTCATAATATGATTACCTGGTTTAAATAGGTCATTTCTTTTAACCTGAAAATGCAAGCTTAATGCATCATTAAAATCTGCATCTTTGAGTGATATACTATATTTGGGATAGTATATGAATAGGAGTTTGGTATAGGCTAGATTACCTTCTATTATACCAAGATTTCCTTATATATATATATATATATATATAGAGAGAGAGAGAGAGAGTTCAAATCTTCTAGACAATATGATTTGCGATTCTAAATCATGATTTCAATTTCTTTTAAATGTATAATTTGATCCATAAGTTTATATTTTACAAAAAAAGACTCATCCTCGACGTGAAAATTCGTAACATTTTGCAAAGAAAGACTCATCCTTGGTATGAAAATTCGTAACATGTGAAGGATTATATCAAAGAATACTAGTGACTATATTATTGATGATTAGTGAATCTTTATAAAATTCTATTTATTTGAAAAACTTTATAATCACAAATATTTATTTATAAAAAAACTTGCTAAATTTTGCTTTGGACAAGTTGTGGAGTTTTCATGTTTATGAAAAAAAAAATTAACTTAAGAGAATCCAAATTGAATGTCCAAAAGAAAACTTTAATTTCATATCATAATTTTAAATTATGACTTCATATCGCATATTCAATGGAGCCTTTAGCCCTCATTTTTCATGAGATGGGTTGGTATATAGTAGAAATAAAATTTAAAGTTATAAAAGAATATTTGAAAATTATAGTTATATTTAAACATGAAAATACAGTTATTTTTGCTCAGCAAAAATTTTAAATCCTATATTTCAAATTGATATAGTGGACTAATTTGATTTAATTTTCACATATCATATATATATATAAAAGAGAATCCTACGCCCGCCTACAGGCGCTACCACAAACAAGGATTCTCATTTAAATTTATTTATCACCAAAACTAGCCTTTCCTTTTCATGAAAAGTTGTGACTTTTATGAAAAGTTGTGACTTTATGAAAAGTTGCGACTTCTATGAAAAGTTGCGACGTTTAGGAAGAGTTGTGACTTTTATGAAGAGTTGCAACTTTTATGAAAAGTTGTGAGTTTTATGAAAGGTTGTGACCTTTTCGAAGGATTGTAACTTTTCCAAAGAATTGTGACCTTTCTGATAAGGCACAATAAACATTTGTTCACACTACCCTTTGTTTTCTATAAATAGAGCGATTTTCTGTCACTATTATTTGTAGGTTTTTTTTCGTTATAGGGTAGTCGAATTCAAATACATTAATTAAGCTTCTTATGAAGTTTGTTTCATTCCTCAAAGTTTTCTTCCTCATATTTCATGGAGCTTAATCTTTACTGTAAGTCATAGTGATTCATGTAACTATGGCAATTTCTTTTTACTATTTTGGTGACTTTTTTTAAACTCTGTTAGAAATTTCAGCAATCCCTTTCTACAGGTTTCTTCATATAAACAAAGAAAATTGGTTTTAATTGCAATGCGACATTACTACTCTTGCACCTCTCAGTCCACAACTCATAATGCTGTTGAAATGGTTCAATTCATTATATTTGGTTCTTTAGTAAATAAAACTTTTATTTCTGCCACTATGTAGGTTTTTTTTGCTATATGGGAGTCGAATTCAAATACATTAATTAAGCTTCTTATGAAATGTGTTTCATTCCTCAAAGTTTTCTTCCTCATATCTCATGAAGCTTAATCTTTTACTGGAAATCATAGTAATTCATGTATCTATTGCTATTTTGGTGACTTTTATGAACTCTGTTAAAAATTTCAGTGAGGATGATTGAAAATTTATCTTCTATTTTGTCTCTTTCTATAAGTTTC